GTATCGGAGCTTTCTGCCGCTATAATTGTTAGGTTGGACCATAGGAAATAACCAGTATTTGGTAATTTTTGACCTGTAAAAAAAAAAAAAAAAGTATTTTCAAATGGTTTAAATTAATAATGTGATAGATACCATGTTTTTTTTTTGTTTTGCTTTTTTCTAAGCTGCATTGTTTGTTCTACTAGTTTCTGTCTGATAAAGATAAAAATTTCTGCCTTGGGAAAAATCAGGTATAGCAAAGTAGAAATAGCTGGTGAGTAAACGATCTGGGATTCTTGGCTCCTATGTGATAAATATCTTCCCTGCTTGCTTAGAGGTGAGTCTGAATCATTCAGCATTCACTGGGAGATCTGGAGGCCTCTTGTGCCCCACCAGGACTCTCTGATCCTGAAGGTGGACACTTGGGGGTAGGGGACCCTCTAGGGGAGCAGGACCTAAAACCACTGGAGGTTGCCTTCCAGCATTTGAGGGGCAGGGCTGTGGCAGGTGGGTGACCTGGGAACTAAGTAAATCTAGGGCTTCAGGGCATGTTTCTTTTGTTTATAGACAGAGATTTTGTGGTGTTCTTATTTATTAAATAGTTGAGACTGCTCAAAAAGTTTGTTTAACTGTGTCTTACTTATATGTGGGAAGAGGGAGAGTATCAATTCTCTGGAGTAGCCTAATTTCATATCTTTACTGCATCTCGAAGGTAGACCACGGCAACATTTTCATAATGGTTATGTTGTCTTACTAGAAAAATGCTTCCTTAAGGGAGACTGACTGACCTAGTGAAAAGTGATAAAACATTTTGGAACCATTATAATTTTCAGAGTCCTCAAGGAAATATTTGTTTTGGATTCAGTAATGGCAATACATTTGCTTTCCTGAGGGAACAGCGTTGCCCAAATAAGCATTTTCATTAGCTTCCAGATGGTTTAGTTTATCAGTTGTGTTTTTTGCTGATATACATGTTTTTCTTCTTTTTCTGGCTTGAACCTTATTTCTATTCAGAAACAGTTACTCATGTCATTTACCTTTGTGTGTCTTACCCACCTCAACTAAAAAAATAAAAAGATCGGTAGTTTCTTTTACAACATTTCTCCAACAAAGCAGCTGCTGAGAAAGGCCAAGTTTAGTGTTCCTCCAAAATATTTACATTGGTTTATGTCGGAGCACAAGACCAGACCTTTTTACTTAATAAGCTTGATTAAGACTGGCTAAAGACAAGCATTTAACTATGAAATAATTATTTCCTGTATTTTAAACTAAAATGAAATTGAGAAATAGGCTTTAGGAAAGAAAATGTAAGGGTGTGGTGGTTCCTAATTGCAAAGATTTTCCTTTGTAGTAGACTTATGTCTCAACTCAGGCAATTTTTTTGGGAATTCTTGATTATATACATTTTAACTGTGTGTTTTTGGGCTATTATATTAGTTATAGAAACATTTTTTAGAATTTTTGTATTCTTACATGGATAGGTTTCTAATAGCAAAACATGCTTCCTGTTCAATATCATGTGATAAAATATTTGGAAAATGTTTGCTTATCTTCATAATCCTAAAGGAAATATTTGTTTTCAACTCTAAAACAGATTCCCATTATCTGTCTGAGCTGTTTCCAAGTGTGTTGTCTAGGACATTAATATTCTATTAGATGGTAATAGGTGTCCTGTGAAAAATCTCACTGACTTGTTTTTTCCTCCAAAATGCATTTAAAAATACCTCTATCCATCTATATATATATATATGAAGAATTCCAAATACATTTAGGTGACTCATTATTATATAGTAATCTAACTTTAAGAAACTGAGATATACGTGATAATTCTAGGCGGTCATATTAGAGATCATTTGGGGCATGAATGCGTGGCATTTGATGTGCATGAATAGAGGCATGGACAGCATTTACCAATTCACTGTACTTCGTATGTTGTCTGTTTGGTCTTTCATTTGCTATGTTTTATCCAATAATTTTAATATATATTTGTGACATTATTCAGCATTACATGTCACACTTATGAACCTGGTTTTTTTCTTTAATTTCTTATAGCAGCTACCCTGTGAGACTGTTTTGTTGCTGTCTACTTTAATCCGACTGTGTCTCTTAAATTTCTGTTAATCTTTCAAACAGTGTGTTATTTAAAAGTGACTCCGTAGTCATTACATTTGGAAAAGTGAAGTAATTTATATAATGACCACTTCCCATATATTAAAACCATCTTTTTAGCATTAATTATGCACTTTCCTAAAGACAGATGATTATTTTATGATTTCTAGTAAATCCCAAATCTTAGGAAATACCTGGAAACCAGACGTCCCAGAACAGAATTGACTGTCAATGGCAGTCTGTTGGGATGACTGCTGCCTCACCAACTTTTCCTTTATGTGGAAACTTTATGTTTCACACTCCTTAAAACCAGAGAAAATTTAGGAAGACTATTTTGTTGCTGTCTACTTTAATCCAACTGCGTTTCTTATATTTCTGTTTAAGAAATTTAAATATCTTTTAAATTTCTCTTAAATCTCTCTTAATATGGCATTTGATGTGTGAATAGAAGCACAGACAGCATTTACTAATTCACTGTACCATGTATGTTGTCTCTTAAATATCTTTCTAAGATAATCTAGAGAGCAAATGTTGCATTGGCAACTATTTTCTTTAAGTTGGTTTGAGTACCACTTAGTATGGTTACAGTAAGGGAAGACGGTGGCCTTGTCCAGCTCTCATAATCATAGCTTTACAAATAGAACGTTAATAAGTGCAGGCCAGAAAATAAAACACAGTGTTTTCCTATAGAAATAAGAGACTATTCTGTCTTCTCTTTTGTGGTAAGGTTTTCACATTTTTGAAGTTCTGAGACTACCTTTGATAATAGATATGTTAATTGTACTTGTATTTTGGGTCAAGGAAACATACTCAAAGTTTGTCATTTAATTGGTTACAATGGTTCAAAGATGGAAGGACCACTTACTGAAAATGCTTCACTAAAACATGTTGGGAATACCCTCTGAGGTTTCTTTACTCATAGAATTAATAGGGATTGTTAAATATAATTTCAGTGAGCATTCAGGAGGTGCCAGGCACTGCGCTAAGTGTTTTACCTGAATTTTTACTTTTAATTTAATTAGGTGGCTTTGAAAGTTGATACTTATAAAATTCAGTATGTGGAACATATACCGTTTGGGTTAAAAATCTTCATGTAAATTCCTACAAACAAATCAAGTGTGGATGTGCAGTGGGTGGTTTTTAAGCTTAAATATCTCAGCTGGATTTAATTACCTTAAGGGATAAGGCTACATGATGGGCCAGTGGTTTACCAAATTATTTTTCATTTTCTGGATCTCAGTGTCACTGAAGGTTAATGCATCCTCTCTTCTCTGCTAGAGACCCGAGTTAAAATCCATTTTAGGGCATAAGTGTAAATGAATTTGTTGTTGTTGTTTCCTCCTTGGGGACACTGTGGTCATTTTGTGAGGCTGCCTTTCCATTTGGAATTGCTGGCAGCTTGCTCTGGGCCCAGGGGCTCTCATAGCAGGGGCAGTGCAAGTCAGCATGAAAATGAACTGGTAGGCTTCAGAGGGCAGAGCTGGCCCAGGGCTTGTCACTCTTCCATTCCTTGATTCTTTCTTGGTTAACTTAAGGAAACTTATTTGCTACTGACATTTGATTATAGCACATCACAAAGCAAGTGATGTGGTTGTGGGTAAGCCATCGCTTTTTCTTTACCATTTCAGGCTGGTTTCTATTTGGCAGCTACAAAGGTTTCTCTCTTCACTGTCCACACACTCCTAGATGACCCCTTAGAGTGGTATAGATGTGTGATCAACATTTTTGATCAATATGTTTCATGGCTTTCTTTACCTATTGCTTTAGAGTAAATGCTTCATTCTTTAGGAGTGTGTTTGTAGCCATAATTACATTTAAGGGTTTTGCCCTGAAGTATTATTAGTTATTTCCTTTATCTGTACTTATTGGTAATATTTAATATAACCTAAGCAGTGAATAGTACTCATAGCATTTTCATCCCTGAGGGAGCTCAGTTGTGTTCTTTCCCTCTAAGCTCATCCTGTCATTTCTTTCTCTCAAAGAATATCATGTAGAATATGCTCTTTACGTTTTTTTCTTTGAAAATACACAAGATCTTTATACATAAAAACAAACATAATTTCATATACACGAATAAGTGGAATTATATCATGCATGCTGTCTTTTTATTTTTTTCTCCTTTGCAGATGTCACTTTGCGTTTCAAAGTGTGTTAGTTGCTCCAGGTTCCTTGAATCCTTCATGCTCTCCATTTATTGTAGGCATTCCTATACCAGTTTGATTTATCCAGCCCTTTTGTCTTGAAAATCTCCCAAACCACTTTGCGCTGGGAGTATCTTCCTCTTCATGTTTTGCCTTCCAGTCACCATTCCTATCCCATTTCTTCTATCAAACTGAATCAGGACAAGGAGAGGTGATGACTGCTATTGTCCACTTATAGCATTCATGTAAAAAAAAATGTATTTACCTCTGTGTGATGTGTATTTGGAAAGAGTGAGAGAGAGAGCCCGACTCTTGGTAAGTACAAAGAGTCATGATTGCTGTGAGAATAAGTTCTTCTTAAAACATTTATATAGTGTTTTTTTTAAAGTCTTAGTTTTAAAAAAGCTAGCTTTGAGTGAAAATTGATTAAACCATTAGTACATGGGATTCTTGTGAGAATGTGAATGATAGAATCATTTAAATAGGGTAGTCTCTTTCCATGTGTCCATTGACCAGTATGTGTGTGGGCATAAATAGTGTGCTGTGGTGCTGTGCATGCTTTCATATTTATCTTTGTCAAGATTGCTTTATCATTATCTAAGGTGAGAAAAACTCTTCCCTAGCCACGTTATACTCTACAAAGTCTTGTATATGCTGATAAAGTTCTCATAAGCTCCCTTTTGTTAGTATTTTTTAAAGACGTTTTTCTTATTTATAATATTGCCAGGTTATTAAGTTGTACTTAATTGTGTCTGTTTTTACCCTTTTCAGGTGTCAGCAGTTGAGTCTTTGGAGGGCCCTTTGCTCCAGGTGGAAGGACTGAGTGACCTTCGATTAGAACTTCACAGCAAGAAGATGAACCTCCACTTGGTTCTCATAGATGAACTGCACCGGCACCTGTACATCAAATCAACTAGCCGAGTTGTGCAGCGTAACAAGGAAAAAGGGAAAATGAGGTAGGTTAAATAGGATACTATACCTTTGCTATAGTATCTTGTGGCAATGTAGGATTGGAAGGAATATTCTTTGTTTCCCAGAATGTTGTTGTAGTTTATTTTACTTTTCCTTTAATGTACTGCCTCTGAAACTTGAGGATGGTTTTCTGATAGGAAACACTCCATGTTCTGAGAGGCTGACATTTGAAGTTTGTTCATCTATTCTACATTTATTATGTTTCTTTTCTGTAAGGATATATAAGAAGTGTAGAAATGTAGATGTATTGGCTGGATGCAGTGGGTTATGCTTGTAATCCCAGCACTTTGAGAGGCTGAGGTGGAAGGATCACTTGCGCCTAAGAGTTCAAGACCAGCCTGGACAACAGAGCAAGACCTTGTCTCTACAAAAAAAGACCAAAATTAGCTGGGTGGAATGGTGTGCACCTGTAATCCGAACTACTCCAAAGGCTGAGATGAGAGGATGTCTTGAGCTCAGGAATTTGAGCTGCAGTGAGCTATGATTGTTCCAGTGTACTCTAGCCTGGGCAACAGTGAGAAGACCCTGCCTCTTAAAAAAAAAAAAAAAAATAGAAAAAAAAAAAAAAAAAAAAAAAAAAAAAAAAAAAAAAAAAACATAAACCTAAAAGCCTCTTAAAAAAAAAAAAAAAATAGATGTAATGATTGAATTATAAGATTCTTTGTTACTTAGGGTTATGTTCAGCTTGAGGCTGTACTTTTTCTAGAATAGTTTAGGAAAGCTTCAGAGAGAATGCCTTTATTCCTTGGTTGGTTATGGCATAGCCCTATATTTAATGGCCTGGATAGTCTCAAGAAATTCATTAGCCTGGTAGGGAATAATACTAGATCTTAAGATGGTAGAACATTGGCGTTTTTAACATATGTTAGATAGCTGTGCATAGTACATGTCCTTCCAACATTTTTTTAGACAGATCTTTTCAGAGGGCATTTTAGCACTATCTACTGAAATATACATGTTCACACTTTTTTATTCTGGTATAGACAAGAAGAGCACTGGAAGCAGTATGTACTGGGAATAAAGTCTTTCAAGTCTTATCCTGTTTGAATAAAAAATCCCAAATTTGCCTATGATGCTTCAGGTTAGTCAGAGACCCTGACAGAGAAAGAGAAGATTCTACCTCTTTTCAGCAGTTGGACACTAGAAAAACTTCTGGCAGGCACACAGAATTGAGCTAGGGATATGTACCTGAGACATAACTTTAAGACTAGCTCTGACTAGGGTATCTGCCAGTACCTCAGCAGAAAGTGAAGTGATGGCTAGGGGAGGTGCTACGGAATTCTTCCCACAATGCCTGGTGATAAATAGCAGATCTGAAGAGATTTCTTCCCATGCAAGGTTAAGTAATAAAATCACTGTGAGTTTTGAGAATATATTCCGTATTATAAGGGAAAATGAGCATTACTTTGAGGTCTCAGAGGAAGAACGTTTATTTAAAAAAAATTTTTTTTAAAGGAAGCAAGAAACATTTAAGAGACTTAAGCTCAAGGTTTCTCAAAAAATGCAAGAAACACGATGTAGTAGACTGTTCAGAATAATCACTCCTTCCCCCTCTACTTTAGTGGGAGAGGTGTATTTCCTACCCTTTGGTTTTAGGGCTTTGGCTTTTGCCATCATTAGGGTACATGACACAAGTAGGGGCTTCAAACATATGTCATATGTGCATATGTCAGTGAGTGTGGACTCTTGTGCCTCTGACATTGCCTTGCTGTTAGTCCCAGGAGAAGGGTGAGAGACACAGGGGACTGACTCAAGATTAGCAGACCTGCCTAGCCTGGATCAGCCAACCATCAAAATGTATGCTTATTGTTGAACATTACTGAGATTTTTTAGTTATATGCAGCAAGCACATAGCTTCTATGAAACAGTAACAGGGAACGACAAGAACAGAAGGAGGAGAGATGCTAACAGAGCCAACTTAAACATGAATAAAATGTAGGAAACCAAAATGAAGTAGGGACATTTAAGTCTTATTTAAAACTTCAGAGAGAAGATCTGAATCACTGATGTGGAGGGAAAACTTTCCTCATGATGAAGAAGAAAAAGACAAGATGCTGAAAGGAAAATGATAAATACAAAAGTTGAACAGTGGTCAATCCAGTGATTTTAGGGTTTCCAGAGGATCACACTAGAATGATAGTATTTGGGTTGAATTATGTCCCCCCCCTAAAATTCATGTATTGAAATTCTAATCCCCAGTACCTCAGAATATGATGGTATTTGGAAATAGGGTCTTTCAGGAAGTAACTAAGTTGAAAGGAGGTTATTAGTGTGGGCCCTAATCCAGTAGGACTGATGTCCTCATGAAAAGGAAATTTGACATACTTGGTGGGAAGACCATGTGAAGACACAGAGAGATGATGGCCATCTACAAGAGGAGAGAGGCCTCAGAAGAAACCAACCACGCCCACACCTTGATCACAGACTTCCAGCCTGGAGAACTATGAGAAAGTAAATTTCTGTTGTCTAAGTTATCCAGTCTTTTGTTACTTTATTATGGTAGCTGGAGCTAACTCAGGGGGGATCAGAAGCAATAATTAGAGTATAAATAAAGAAACCTACTTAAACAGAAAAACAAGACCTTGTTCTGCAAATCAAAAGAATTTAAGGTAAAATTAATTTAAAATAAAACTTTACTGTTAGATACAATCTGGAAATTCTTATGATTTTCAGAAAAGAATTTTATAAGCACCAGGAAGAAATATTATGTGATCTGAAGTGACAGAGATAATTATTTGCCCACCCAATATTCATTCTTCCCTTTATTTTTAATGACAATCTTTACTTTGTTCCTGGTGGCCATAGGCCCAGCTAAAAGGCTGCATTTTCCCTCCTTCCATATAGGTAGAGAGTGATTAGTGGGACTTCGGTTTGCAAGCTGTTGAACGGGGAGGTCATTAATTTTCAGATATACCAGTCTCACTGATATACTCACTCTTTTACCTTTCATTTGCCTTTCCTTACTTTCTATCTGGGACATAGATTGGTGCCATCAAGCCATCCTAGACACGAGGTGACCTTGAGGACAGAAGCCACATCTTGAGCTCCTTGATCATGCTGAACCTCTTTTCTAGCTCTGGGTGGGGTACCTCTTTTATATGAGAGGAAGTCTTTATTTTACTCAGACAACTATTATTTGATCTTCTGTTTTACACACTTAAATCCAGTTCAGTTGCATAGTAAGAAGTAAAAATCGGGCTCACCAGGATTTGCTGAATATTAAATGCCAGAAGACAATAGAGCAAAGTCCATAAATCTGAATAGAGAGGAGTTGGGATCAAAGACTTCTCTACCCAGCCAAGGGGATATGACGGACATTCTCAGATATGAATTTACAATAAAAATCATTAGTATTCTTTTTCTGAGCAAAATACTCAGAGATAAACTATAACACAGACAAAATTACAACTGGAAAACAGTAAAGTTGTAGGTAGTTTGAAACAACTTTGAGGGCCACATACCATTAAATATGTACATGTATGTATATGTAAGTAAGTGACAAATACATTTTTACAAGATTGAAAATATCAGGTAAAAACCGTTGTTGGAAAAAAAGGTCAGCCGAGTGCAGTGGCTCACACCTGTAATCCCAGCCTGGTCAATGTGGTAAAACCCCATTTCTTCTAAAAACATAAAAGTTAGCCAGTCATGGTGGTGCATGCCTGTAGTCCCAGATACTCAGGAGGCTGAGGCAGGAGAATCACTTGAACCCATGAGGTGGAGGTTGCAGTGAGGCAAGATCATGCCACTGTATTCCAGCCTTGGTGGCAGAGCAAGACTGCATCTCAAAAAACAAACAAACAAACAAAAGGTCTGTGTAGTTAAGGAATAGTCTCTAATAATAAACAGAATTTAGATCCTTTTTTACTCAGTTGATAGTTATTAGGAAATTTGGATAGATAGGAGAAAGAAATGCTGAATTCTTGTTTAAGATGAGTCAGAAGTTTTGTTTTTGACTTAGAATAACTAGGGAAAATATGTTTAATTTTGATTTTACTAATCTATATATGAATATTTAAAGATTTTTATATTTAAAAATCAACAGAGAAGACAAAAATGTTCCCTAATACAAAGGATATTGTACTGTAGCCCTCCTTTGTCAGCAGGGGATACATTCCAAGACCCACAGTTGGTACTTGAAACTGCAGATAGTACCAAGCTCTGAATCTACCTGCACAGTAAATCCTCACTTAATGCCCTCAATAGATTCTTGGAAACTGTGACTTTCAATGAAATGAAGCTGTAACTTTAAATGAAATGACGTACAGAAGGTCCTAGAATAACATTGTGTCCTTCAAGTTCCTTCGTTGATGAGAGAAAAAAAAATGGTTTCATTATATGCCAAGATTCTTGATTGCAAATAGAGGAAATCAGTCTGGGTAACTAAAACAGGAAAAGAATTTATTGGAAAGTTATCAGGTTCACAGAATCTATGGGAAGTATGTATAATCAGGCTCTAAAACCCAGTAGGAACCAACGGAGATTAAGCAGCTGAGCACCCAGTCTTAGACAAGCCACAGGAAGGGTCTTTTTGGGTTGCTATTTTTGCTGGTACCATGCCCACAATAGCTGGATTTTAAACTCTTCTGTAAATGATCCCTAAATGTCCCAGCATCTTTCCTTATCTCTTAAAGATTAAAAATTCTGGACTCAAGCATCCAGTTTGCTGAGCCTGGGTAACGCCTGGCCTCCTTCAGCTTCCGTAGTAGGAAGCGGGGCCTTCTTTTTACTTTGATGCAGTCAGTGGGAATGGACTGGTCAGATGTTTGTTACCCAAAACAAACACCCAACAAATTTCTACTGCAGGAGAAAACAAAGGAAATCACATGAAGTCACTTACATATAAAGACCAGACATTTTTGAAGTAGAAAGTAGGCAGTAGAATTGGCAAATGAAAGAAAGGTACACGCTTTCATACAAATAATAAAAAGTCTATTTGGAGGAAATGAAACAAATGGTGAGACTCTCCTTGTTTTTGGCCCAT